GACTTTTAAACATAAAACTTCATGAAAAGTACACGGAAACGATTCTCGAATTGAAATACTTTAATAAATTGTCAATTTTTTTATTTCCCAGTTTAAAGCGAAACGCCAAGCTAACCGAACAGAACTATTCCTTCCCTGCGGTATTTATTTTCGCGACTAATTCAATATGACGCTAAATGAGATCCTAATTTGAAAGACCCCTATCAATCACTGGCGCACAACTTGGGAACTTGCCCACGGCAACTGGGAATTTTCGCAATCAATTTTCAGATTTTGCGAAAGTTTTCATCAAACAACAAAAACTTTCGTCCGTTTAAACGTCTCAGTCTCTTCTCGTACCCTAACTAAAAGAGTTGGGGTTTTCCAAACCGAAACAACCATAAAACGATCACACTAAATCGGTGAAATTTTAGAAAAATCGAAATAAATTTCAATACTTTTACGTCGATCAAAGCACATGAGCCAAGAGCCGAATTATTTGCTTATGCCTCCAAAGAAGCGACTATTTTCATTTATTAATTTGCTAAACTTATTGCATAMAACACAAAGCTTCAACATCTGAWRCACAATAAAAATAAAAAAATTACTTGACCCCTAGGTCATCCTCCCTTTATTTCGAGAATCTAGCAACATCGTCAATACCCACTAGGCAAACAACAAAAAACCTGAAAAATTCGCARAAAATTTTCACTATCAGCAATAATTTTCAACATTCTGTAAGTCCKCAATCAATCTACAAGTTATCCATCGCAGCCCGATTCGACGCTGTTTGCTCAATAATTGGCCCAACTTATTGTCCATGAAATCCCGGCATAACAAATTTTAATAGTTCGTAAATCAAAAGGCAAGAGATTGCGATTACTTTTGCCAAACTAAATATTGATTTGCATGAATATCTAAACTGTAAATTGTACATTATTCATTCTGCTCGATTTGGGTTTATAAAAACTCAATTGGAGGCAAGACTCTAAGCCAGCAATTGAAACTACCAGCAAAAAGTACTAAACTCAGCCTCGAAAACTCCTCCGACAGCGCGGACGCATCCTTAGAGGCCTCTGAGGTAACCCCAATCAAGTCCAATTATCATACAACCACAAATTCAAGGGATGATTTCTATTCGGGGGTGCCGAAGGACGAACGGTTTTTAAGGGCTGTTTTGATTACTGCAACGTGACGAATAAGGTGTACTCATTGACAGGAAACTCGATACTCTGGATGGGTTTGTTAATACAATTTACTGTGCGATAATTTGGGTTTTGAGTTTACCTTACAGTGTGAGACGGGGAGACATCTAAATTAAAAATTCATCTAAATTAAAATTGAATTTAAAAAACCTTTTAAGGATTTATCAGCCTAATCAGTTGAGTGCGAACAACCCATAAAAAGTAACAATGTTCTTATCAAAAAATGTATACAGAAGGTTTTGTAATGTTTAATTTTTCGTTGGTCGAATCATTGATAATGTGTTAGAGCATAGGTTCTCAAACTTTTTTGGTGACGGAAACCTTTTGAAAAACTAAATTTTTAACGGAGCCCTAAACCATAACTAAACTAAAATCAAAACGAGTTATATGTCTAGTGTTTATTAATAATCATACAAAAAGTTTTTTTTTCGGATAAGGATTTAATGGGAACTTTTGGCTTTGACCGTTGAGGATTCGGACCCAGAAGAAGTAATTCATCGAGTTAATGTTTGGCTTCTTGCACCTCAATTTTCGCTCAGTGTCGCGTAGACTGTCCTGTCTGTACCACGTGAAGGCAAATTTGTGGACGCAAGATCCCACAAAAACAATGAAAATAGGTATTCGTGAAAAAGTATCAACATGTTTAAGCACGTAATTTTTCCAATTGTCAATATAATCAATGGCGAGATTTGCTACTTGTTGGTAGGCCTGGGTAACTCTTTGTTGAGTTGCGCTATTGGGTTGTTGCCGCTCTCTGAGCTAACGAGTTATAAATCATCAGTTCATGAGTTATAAGTCATTTATTAAAGCTTTACAAGACCCGAGACTGGAATTTTCACATCTAAAAAAGGATAATTAACTTATTTTCAGAGTGACGTTTTACTACTTTTTTCAAACAACTAAAAGAAAGTTATCTACATTTTCCCAGCAACAAAACTCCAAGAGTCCAAAGCAAAGTCGACAAGTTTTCTTGTAAAATCGATCTCTTAATTTTTTTGCATAAAAGATTCAGTTTGCTCGTATTTTACAGTAAAACGTTAGGAAAAACGCCGTTCAGAAATATTGACCTAAAAGTGACGAAACCCTAGTTTCAAAGAGTTCCTATAAAATTTATCCTGTAATTTCTCACAATATATTCAAAATACCTGAAGATTGTCGGTATTTTAGGTAAAACTAAAACATAATTAGATTTTTGCGTAGAAACAATTGCTTAAACGAAACTTTGCAACAACGGGAATGACCTGAAAATTTAAAGGAACTTCAAAAATCTTCAAAGCGATGAGCGATGGGCGGCGAATTTTCCAAATAATTTTTTTTTTAACTTTTGCTCTCGGGTCGTTTTCGGTTTTGGAGAAAACCTTAAGGGCTTTCGGGGAAAACGGGACGAATTCATTTTCGTTTTTGTCCCGCATTCGACGCTGAAAAAAGTTTTTGTTAAATCTTTACAAAGCTATAAATTTATCGTGTAATTTTGCGCGTACTCTACTTTTAAACTCTACAAAATAGCGTTTTTAGTAGAAAATTTTAAAAAAATCAGTGAAAACAAAAAAAACACATTTTTTAACAAACTACAGTCTTCAGAGGTATGGAGGTAACGAGATTTCCAAGTAATCTGTTATAAACTTTCGCTTATTCTGTTCGTTTTTTGATAGAAAAACTTTTATTTGATTTCTGTTCCAAATTCGAAGCTGGAAAGGGATTTCAACTTTTTAAAAGCTTTTTCAAAGCGATGAAGGATTTTTTATTTATTTCATAATTTTTTGAAGAAAATACTTTGAGATTGTCAGCATGTTTACGTGAAACTTTAGAAAATTGAGCATTTAAAAGAAAGAGTAACTCGGCTAAAACTAGATAATTCTGAAGTTTTGAAGACATTTTCAAAATATATATATATATATAAATAATCTTTATTTCCTACAGAAAAAGGCTATCGACCCAATCGGCCTATCTGCCCTTTTTCAAAATATTATTAGTAAATGGCCTTTAAAGTAAATCTAAAAACAAGTGAAAAAAGTCATCAACATTTTCCCGGCAACGGAACTGAACAACTGCGCCGGTGCGTTGGGTTGGCGCACCAAACCATTTGCGTTGCACTGCGCCAACTCCTAAAAATCAACTAAGTTACCGAGGCCTACCTTTGTGACTTGAGCGGAATTTACCTAACCAATCGCAGGATGCTTTAAGTTGGCGTTCAGATAATTTTTTAATTTATTGTCCCTAAAGCGTGCTTCTTATTTTACAAAATCATGTGCAGACTAATAGAATCGATACCACATGGATATCAACCATAAAATTTTAGGTTTCCTGTTTCAAAAATTGATAACCATTTCCACTTCGTCAAATTTACAAGTTTCTACTTATATGACCGGGAGAAAACAGACACAGGTGTTGGAAGTGAGCGTGTATTTTACTCGAAAAAAACAGCTTTCCCGTTATTCCCACCCCGGACGATATTACCGCGTTGTCAAGCCATGTGTCTCTTTATTGTATCTCTACAGTAAAACAATTTTTCATTACCTTATTTAGCATATGCGTTGTTCAGAAATTTATGGAAAATTTTATGGCTACCCGGTATGGAGAACGAGTGTCTCTTCAGCATCTCTCCCTCGGGTGTTAATAAAATGCCGCAGGTGGATGGGGGTACACATAAGGAGATTTGTTTGCGAATTTTTATGTGGATTGTTTGTGATTTTATGGGCCTGTCAATAATGATATTGGTCGGAAATTTTTTCCAGGGAAATGCCTCGACAAAACCAATAAGTTCGGCAGGAGCAAATTCTCACATTTTTTTGAGCGTTACAAATTTATATATATATATATTTTTATAACCACTTACTGAGCCACAGCGTGGCTCTGTTTACTCCTCGCCTCGTTTTTAATAAATCCTGTTATGGATCTTTGCACTTTGATGGCTTAGGAATGACGCACATTATTACGAAATCAATACACAGTTGAAAAGTGGATTTAAGGACGTTACATTTGCCACCAAACCACATTAAAAATAATTTCAATCATTTTCTAGGCTTAAATATTGGTGTCCATTACCTCTAATATTTGAAAACTCTTGTTGAGGGGCCTGGAAATTTGCGATCATCTACTCAAAAACGGTTAACATCAGAGCAAAAAAGCAAACGAACTTTTCCAGTAGCGAATAAATTAATGAAGTAAAATACATACGATACCCTGAAATTGCCATCACTGGCACTTTTTGCTACGCAAATTTTAAATGGGGTTGAAGAAAGTACGCAATGTTTATGTTGTAATATGTGTAGAAAATCTCATTCCTGTTGCTCAAATAGTTGCTGACATTTTGGTAAAAACATTATTAAATTTGTTTCAATTGGAGTAAATTGTAGAAAAACGTCACGTGCTAATCTATGCTCATAATCCGCAATGATATAGCATATGAAAGCCACATGAAAACTTCATAAATCTTTCCCCTAGACTATCTAGCTTACTTTGCTTATAAGAACCAGCGCATGCTTCCAAAAACTTTAGTTTCCTGCACTGGAACCTAAATCGCCGTTATTTAATCTGAACAAAGTTTTAAAACGCAATAAAACACCATGGCCCAATTGCGACCCAAAGACACATCCCATTTTTAAGAGGGCAAATTAAATCATTTGCCCGATGGCACGCTCGAGACCCGAACTTTTAATTCTGTTCAAAAATTAGCATCCACGCAAAATTCCCGGACACAAAAATTAAAAACTTTCCTCACTGCCCCCATTATGCAAAGTAATGATAAATAATCGTGCTTTGGCCGGCAATGTTCGCGCAAAGGCCGGAATCTGTGCTTTGCTTAGTTGCACTTACCTTTCCCACGCCCGTCACCTCTTTGACGCCGATTCTCCGGAGAAGCGCTGGCGGCACTGGTGGAGGACATTTCTGCAAAGCGCCACAGAATCCTCCAGGATCCGCCTCGTCTGAATTGTGACGTTTTCTTCGATGGGGCGATGATGAGAGATTCAGTTTTTGGGCAGCTCTGAAACAAAAAACATTTTTGATTAACTTCGGTTATTGGACGGTACACTTATTTAATGTGAATAAAGTGTGTTTCAAATCAAATGGAATGATTCTAACTAGCTATCAGCCGGTTCGAAGGACCAAAAAATTAAAACTCTTTAGTCAAATATACTTAACGCAACTGATTATTGCATATCTTCTAAGTAAAGAGGCTCATGAGTAATGGGGGGATTTCCGGGGTCCAAATCAAGCGACTTAGCACAACTTAGAGATGCCTACGGAGGAACAACGGCAGGAAAGAGTTAATAGCCCTAAAAGACTCCATGCACCGGGAAACCAGAAATAAGCAGGAAATACTAAAGATCACCAAGGAATTTTACCAAGCCCTATGCACCTCACAAATAAAGAAACCAGAAACGATTGCATTTAAGAAAGTGAGAAATGTGAGGTCGGACGACATCCCTGAAATAACAGATGAGAAAATACCAACATGCTCTTAAAACATCAAAATATAGCAGAGCCCCTGACGGCGACGGCATAGTAATAGAAATGATCAAGGAGGCAGAAGAAACAGTCATCCCCAAGCTAAAGACACTTTTCAACGCTTGCTTTGAAACCCAAGAAATACCTGAAACCTGGAACGAATCCATAATCATCCTGCTCCACAAGAAAGGAGACCCGAGACTTCTTCCGAATTGTAGGCCAATTTGGTTGCTTTCACACATCTATAAATTGTTCACGAGAATCATCGTAAACAGAATCAGTAGCAAACTCGATGACTATCAACGGCATTTAGAAAGGGCTTCAGCACATCCGATCATCTCTTGACCTTTAAAATCCTAAATGAGAAAATGACAGAATAGAACATGCCATAATACACAGCCTTCAAAGATTACGAGAAGGCTTCGATTCTATCGAACATTGAGCAATTCTAAGCGAGCTAGAGCTGGCCCGTGTCGACCATGGATACACAAACATACTGGAAGCATAGAACAAGGCTTATTGACTGGAAGAGATTCACAAAAACACGAAAGCGGCAGTGAGAATACACGAAACAACAGATTCCTTTGCCGTGCAAAGGGGAATCAAACAGGGTGACACAGAATAGAATCACACCCAAACTGTTTACGCTGGCCCTAGAAGGAATTATCAAGAAGTTAGACTGGTTAGAAGAGGGAGGCATCATCGATGGCGAGAGATTAACGCATCTCAAATACGCAGACGACATAGTGCTGGTAGCCAACAACGCTAAACACCTGGACAAAATGATTACACATCTGAACCAAAAATCAAAGAAAATATACCTCAAAATCAATCTGAATAAAACCAAAACTACGTGTCCGGTGGACCCTAATATCATAATAGACAACAACAAAATAGAGCATGTAAAGGACTATACATACTTAGGTTAACGAATAACTCTTAGAAAGGAAAACAAAGATATCCAGATCAAAAGGACAATTATATTCGAATGGGCGGCTTTCGCAAAACTAAAAAATATACTCACCAACAAAAAAATACCTCTGGATTTGCTATCAACATTTTACGACCAATGCGTATTGCCAGTAAGCACATACGGCGCTCAAACATGGACCTTCACAGAGCAAACAGTGAACAAGCTTAGAGTATCCCAAAGAAATATGGAAGGAAGAATGGTAGGCGTTTTTCTGCGTGACAAAAAACGAAACGAGTTAATTAGAAGCAAGTCTAAAATAACAGATATAATAGACCGGGCAGCTCAACTGAAATTGGACTACGCGGGACATATCGCCCGAATAAAGGATAACAGGTGAAATAGAAGAGTGTTGCGATGGAGGCCATAGACCGGCAGAAGAGCGAGAGGAAGACCTATCACAAGTGGTACGACGATATAAAAAAAGTTGGCAGGACTTCCATGGTTGAGAATTGCCCAGAATAGAACAAAATCGAAAGAATTAAGGGAGGCCTATGTCCAATTCTGGAAGAAGAACGACTAGAAGAAGAAGAAGCACAACTTAGAAGAAATACAGGAGGTCAAAGTACTTTTTAATTGAGTTTTATTAGGAAAATTAGCCATTCAGGAGTTTTGGAGGATGACAAATTTGACTATCAACTCAGTTTTATGCCAACCCAGCTCATAGAGAGCGGCACCTGCAGTATACGATTATCTTTAAAACCGTCTTAACTTTTTCTGATTCAGTCTATTTGTAGCTATCTTTTGAGGTTAAAATATTCGCTTTAAAAAGTTGGTTCATAATAACTGAAACAAAGCTGGTAAACTAACTAAAAAAGTCAACGAAGATGTTGCCCTCTCTTTGGTCGGCAGCTACAGCAAACAGCGGCCAAACACGATAAAAGTAATGAAAATTAGGAAATGAAATTTGCTAAATACAATTTGTGTGGAAGCTGCTGATGGTGTAGGTGTTGGAGAATTCAGCCCCCATCTAATCACAGAGTCCAAACAAATAAAGCCGGTTATATTTAATCATACCTTCTCTATCAGCCCCCTTTGTTTTCCTTCCGCCCTGCACCTCCCAGCGCGTTTTGCGAGCCTATAAAGTGCGTGACGTCCATACCTAATGCCATTGTGGCTGTTTATCCTGCGTCCTGTCAAAATATTACGGTTTGCAGAAGGATAATGTGTTATTTTTGCGGCTTTGTGGAATTTTTTCGCAATCTCGCCTCCCCCGATTCAATTTGCGCACTTGGCCACATATCATATGGATCGCATCCGTTTTTTTGCGCCTTTGATGTCGTGTCAAACCTGCGGGGAGAAACAACGGAACGAACTCGACAGCCCAGTTTTATTCCTGCAAAAATAAATACACGGTTTGTAAGATTCCGACAAAAAGTCGCCCTTCCACGTCAACTTATCCTGAATTATACCTTTCCTGCTGCCGCACAAATGGCAGGAAAGCCTACTTTTTGCGACGTCCTGCGAGCGGAAAGCAGGTCCAGATTACACGAGGTGCCACTGGCATTAGTCAAGATGTCAGATGGGATTTCGTTTTTCTCGAGTGCCATTCGGAAGTGGGACAAGGGAAATACACTTTAGAATTATGGCCGGGGGCATATTTTAAATTTAAAAATCGAATATTTCTTCCCGCGCTGCTTTAGAGAGCCGATGATGACCGCGAGACAAATGCCAGAATTCAAAATGGGCACAATTTTGGAGTCGATTATTTTAAATAACACCAATTCCCAAACAAAATCTAATGGAATGACCATTTAAATCGTTCAACGCTGATCTTTGGCCATTATGAGTCGTCTCTCTCAATCTCTGTGAACCGGAAAAAATGCTTAACATTCTTGCATTGTTCCTTGATGTAATGTGAAGAGTTTCTTTGGAATATCAATAAGTTTTATTAAATTCAGTAGCAATTTACTTGCTTACGGTGTAACCGATGGCCAGAGCAATTTCTTTTATGAGTGCGTGGTTAAATCTTATCCTTCTGTAACCGAAAAAACCCTATGAATTTGACAACTTTTCACGGTTGGTTCTTTTAAAGGAATTACTTAAATCGACATTCAGGCAATTGAAAGCGGCAATACATAAAATACCAGTTTTAAGCAATGGGACTGATTTTTTCCTTCTGCAGGCACAACAACTAGAACCTCATAAATCAGATTGATTTAGAATCAAGCTATTGACTAAGCTAATTACCTCTCAATTTAACATATGACCGAAATAGGGGCTTTATAGCCGTTTGGAACGGGGCTGTTAAGTTGATTTCCTTCTATTCTCGATGAAGTTCGGTCGATGTAAGTCCTTACCAACAAAGTGGAATTTTCTATTTAAACTCCTAGACGGGCTGTTTAAATTTGTATGCCCTTAAGCAGTTGAACCATACGTTGCAGCCTTTGTAAATAATTTAACAAGCTGCATTGTTCCTTTTAAGAAGCGAGTAGCACTATTGAGCACTTACACAAGAGCATGGTATAAGCAACTGAACCTCAAAAGTTAATTTACGCAAATAATTGCGAGCTTTAGCCAGATTCAATCCCGTAGATGCTCAAGAGATTTAGGGCGCTTTTAGGTCATGTTCAACAGCCAAGGATTGAACTGCTGATTAACGCTGATCTACAAAGCTTGCCAAAATCAGCAAGGACATTCTAACAAAATCACGTAATTGTGCCACAAAATTCGTTTCGAGGTCGGGCAAGTGTGAAATTGGAAAATCCCCGACTGACGAAGACTTTTTTCTTTCCCGGGCTTATTTTATTTTTGCCACCTTCGTCGACGACGACTTTTTTGCATGACAATGGCTAAATTTAAATTTGGGTTAATTTTATGAACGTCGAGAGACTTCTTACTCGGAGGAAAATTACCGATTAGAAAGCCAACTTCCGCTGTTTTGTGTGAATGGGACTACAAGTTGCTTCTTGAAAATTACTTAAAATCAAGTGTTTCCACATTCAAACTGAATTAAATAAAAACACATCAAAATAGCATGAAAATGTGAACAAATCCAGATAAACTTTCCCGGACACAATCGACAAGGACGACAATGATTCGGGTTTTCGTTTGTGGAACCACCAAAGGCAAATTCGCTCGATCCATTTTGCAATTTCGCCTCTAAAAACCTGTCGGTGACGGTTTGAAATTTTAGCCAAAGGCTGTCAGGACGGCTTCGAAGATTGAAAGACGGATGAGCTGAAAATTTCGCCTCGATATTAACTGAAATATTCACTGCGCGGAGAAAGCCTTTTCGCATACTTATTTATTCGCAAACTGGCGAATATTTCAGGTAAGCAAGCATCGCATTAAGCAGCCGAATTTGCATGATGGCTGCCAACCAAAAAGTTTCACAAACTTTGTGCGTCTCCACCTGGAAAGTTCAAAAGACAGGTTTTAGTAGCACATTACCAGGTTTAAAGAAGGACAACTTGCAAAATGTTCAGATTATGGGTCTCAGATGCACTTGCAACCAGAATGACAAAAAAGCACCATTTGTTTCTCAGCGTAGTTCACCTGATGAAGTTTTTTTTAACCTTCAGAATTTTTTACTCATTACACTGATCCAGACATTTTGTGCTGCA